CTGGAAGGTACACATCCCACAATTTGAATTCTTACACTACTGGTGCCTGTAACCACTTGTAACAGTTCAGGAAGGGTGGTGGGTTCCCCGTGTGCAGACCAGAAAATCACTGATGAAAATGTATTGGTCTTTAGGGACCAGAGATGAGGGACCTGCCACTGCCTTACCTGCCCTCCAAGTGCTCTTCACTGCAGTATTCAGCTGCCTTAATGAGCTGACTGACTAGCAGTCAGCCAGGAACAGTGGAATAGGGTCCCTTGTAACCTTTTAAGTATTTGAGTATGTCGTTTTCATCGTACCCTTAGGTTGTTTCTGAAGGTGTGTAAGGCTTTTTCTTGCCTTGGGAATTGTTGAGTGTTTGGTATTGTACATGACCATGGTCTCTGGTGTTTACTGGGAATTAGCAAAGCAGAATATGAAGAAATCTTTGCAACAAGGTTGAAATATGATGTTTTGCAAGGATAAGGTGGTTTCCGTGGAGTATGGACAGTATTCAAACCTAAAGATGGTATTACTGGTTAGTTAAGTGGCATAAGAGATACTAAAACTTTACTTTAGTACGGAACATACATTGGATTGTCTGCTGTTTTTTTGGGGTCTTTGTTTCTTTTGTGCCATGCGCTCATGAGTGTGATTTATACATGATTTTGGCATGGGAATACAGCTCAGAAGATAGCATTATGATAGTGTTTTGGGGAAGATGGGCGCTTAGTTCATTGTATTCATTGTCAGACGGGTGTTGTTGTCCTCGTGCCAGTGGACGATGTTAACTCCACGTTTGGTGGGTTTCTTGGACTATACGGCGGCAGCGGCAACAGTGAAGAAAGCCAAACTCTTTCCATGATTATGAAAGCCAAACTTAGCCGCAGCTCTTTTTTTCTGGAATTGTCTGTAGCTGAAGATAAATTTGAAAGATAGTCACTTCTTCCCAAGTCCTGCAGTTGTCATTTTGCTTGCGTAGTCAGCTCAATTTTTCTATGTTCCCTTCTCAGATTTTCATAGTCTATCTTGGCTGTGTTCCTCCATCTTCATGGTCTTCTCCCTTCTGTCTCAGTAGGGATGGTAAGAGAGTCAAAAATGCATAGCTCTGATATGTCCATTCTTCCTTTGCTCCCCTGCCCTGCTTAGAATTTTCCTTTCCCATAAAGCACTTCCACTGCGGATGGGAGAGTGGTAAGCCTGCCTTTCCCACCTGGGCTGCGCCGATGAAGGAAGTCTCAGCTTTCTTTTTCTCCTGGTCGGGGAGTGTCGGGTAAGGAAGAATTGAGAGAATGAGAGAAAAGAAAGATCACAGGAGACTATTACTTCCTTCTTCCAAGTATGCCATTATCTCATGGGATACTACCTGTGAATTATTGAAAACAATGGTCCATTCTGAGGACGCGTTTTGCTTGAACTAGAGTGTTCATGCAGATAAGTGCTGACCCTTCAGGGCAGCAAGAGGTAAAAGTTTTTTCCAATCCATATATCTTATTTATTATGCTATTTTCTTCCTAATACGTACATCTGCTTCTCCGGTACCCTTTTTTCCTCCTTGCAAATCACTGTGGTATAAACGTCATTCTGCCCTGTGTAAAGTTCGAAGGGTCTGGCAGCCAGGCGTGCACTGTGGGATACTAGGAGAAGTGCATGTATCAGGAAGGAGGAGGACACCAGATATCCGCAACTTTGAAATTACACTGGAATTCAATAAAAAGCCGTTGCAGCGTTGGAGAAGTGGCACAGGGCAAACTGTTCTGTTCATTTTAGTACATCATTCTCCCTATTCCTCTGTCTGGAGTCAGAGTTTGGGTGTTATGCTGTACGCTCAGAAAACTAAATCCTTGCATTCCACCAGTCTCGGTAGTCAGTGCGTGCACTGTGAATCCAATACACATGGCAAAGACTCAGTCTGTAATTCCTACTGTTCCTTGGCAGTTTAGGTAGGAGTAGGAGTTTAATCAATCTGTTCATCTTGGCTAGGACTCTCATGCTGGCTTGTGGTTTCATTTACAGTGTGACAGCAGTGTTATTCCCATTCCAAAGCTCTGTAGTGATACAGTCTGCTAAACTGTTTCAGGATGAGACTTGCATGGAGATCTGTGGAGAGCTGAAAGTCACTGAAATTCTGCAAAGAGGACCTGTGTTATTTTCAGACCTCAAATAACAGGGATTGAAAATATTGGTGTATATAAAACATAGACTTTGGGGAGGGAGGTTTGAAACTTATGTATTTCCCTTGAAGAGATATCGTGTGCTTGTCTGAGCCATCATGTGAATATCATATTTCTGGACCTAATCCGTAACTGTTTTCTGTCACATTTGTCACCTTTCAGGGATTATGTAGATGCATAATGACGTAGATGTAGTTCATGATTTGAAGCCTGAGTTCAGAGCCCTGGATTTGGCCAAGAGTTAGGGAAAAGAAGTCTTGATTAGCTCATGTTTAGGAAGGGTCTGTTCCAGGAAACCTTTAACCACACAGTTCCAAATATTCATGGCTGATACTACAGAATATCAAGTTTTTATGTTTGTTTTTCTGTTATATATGTTCAAGAGAATTTTTTATCTTAAAAACAGTTTTTTAGGGGGCAAGTACATTCTCTGAATGAGATTACAACCCACTGACGCTATGGTGGGATATTAGGTTTATTGCACATTAGCTGTCTGTCTATGTGCATAGTCACATCCCACAGTTACGGTAAAGTAGCATATTCCTCATTCAGTGGCTTGTGCTTGCCACTTCCTTTTACTGTAGCGTGTACTAATGTAAGATTTCGTGTACAGGCAGTTACTATAGGGCATTTTACATGCAGTGACTTGTTACTTTACAGCAACTTTGATGTCCAAGTTCTAAACGCAAGTCCCTAGTTTGGGATTACCATTGGGTTTGGGTACCATTTGGGTTTACCATTTTCAGAATAGTTTGGATATGCATGTTGATTTTAGAGCATTTTGAAAATCTGCCACTTGAATCGGTCACTTTGGCCTGCCTATTGAAAGATTTATCAGAAGAGGGAAGATGGAGAGTAAGCAAGGAGTGCAACCGAGAACACTGATGCTTGCGTTTGCAGTAGACTGAGGTATGTCGGTGTAAGGCCAGTTAAGTTGGCCAGGTGAGGTGACGAAAAACATTGTGGAGATCTAATCGAGTTTAGATCAGTGGTTATCGCGATGAGAAATATGGTCTAAATATTCTGAACTAATCTTTTTGATTAAAAACAGAGACCTGAGAACCACTGTGGAAATCCCAGTGGAGAACCCTGCTAAATGTGTAACTGCAGTCCAAAAAGCACTAATGTCACATTAAAGGTGGGAAAGAATGGAGACTAACGTAGAAAGGGTACTTTTACATAAACTAAGTAGCTTTATCCAGACTACTGTGTGAAACAATAGTAACCTTCTCACAAAAAAGTGTTGAATAATTGAGAAAATTTCAGAGGTGGCTGAAAAATGAGAAGCGTGAGGTAATAATACAGATGTAGAGACTGAAGAGAGAAGATTCATTTGAGGGAAGATGAATAAGAGAAGGCATATATATATAATAACCAATCTGACAGCCTTCTCTGATGGAATGACTGGCTGGGTAGATGAGGGGAGAGCAGTGGATGTTGTCTACCTGGACTTCAGCAAGGCTTTGGACATTGTCTTCCATCGTATCCTCATAGGTAAACTCAGGAAGTGTGGGTGGGATGAGTGGACGGTGAGGTGGA